AGAGTAGATTCTAGAAACACTGCAATGCTCACTCCACTTCTGGAGAGCCCATAGGACTAGTGATTGCATCCAGTCCTCCTCTCATAATGTGGACCCTCCAAGGGGTGGGGGGTCCTAGGGAGTTCTGGAAGCACAGAAGTTACAGAAACACAAGGTAGAACATGCTATTCTCTAAACACCTCTAAAAACCTTCTCCACCTTCTATATCAAATCACAGACAAAACAAAAGGATGGTGCTGGGGTTTCAAGTTGCTGCTTAGCCTAATTATATAGAATTTCTGTTTGCAAATTACACTGGTATTATAAAACAATGAAAAAAATCACATTATTTTAAGCTCACAGAATATTCACCAAGATAGACCATAAACGTAGCCATAAAAAAAAAAATCAACAAATTTAAAAAATTGAATATAGGGGCTCACGCCTGTAATCCTAGCACTCTGGGAGGCCAAGGCAGGTGGATTATTTGAGCTCAGGAGTTCGAGACCAGCCTGAGCAAGAGCGAGACCCCGTCTCTACTAAAAATAGAAAGAAATTAATTGGACAACTAAAAATATATAGAAAAAATTAGCCGGGCATGGTGGCACATGCCTGTAGTCCCAGCTACTTGGGAGGCTGAGGCAGAAGGATTGCTTGAGCCCAGAAATTTGAGGTTGCTGTGAGCTAGCCTGACGCCATGGCACTCTAGCCTGGGCAAAAGAGTGAGACTCTGTCTCAAAAAAAAAAAAAAAAAAAATTGAATATAGGATAAGCTCTCTGATCATAAGTGAATCAAACTATAATTCAGTAACAAAAAAACAACAGGAAAATCTCCAACATCTAAAATTAAGCAGCGCACTTCTAAATAATCTATGGATCAAAGAGGAAGTCTCAAGGGAAATAAAAAAATAGAAAGAACTAAATGAAATTGAAAACATAACAGATCAAAATCTGTGGGATGCAGCTAAAGCAGTGCTGATAGGAAAAACTATAGTAATAAATACTCACATCAGAAAAGAGGGATTTGTTCCAGGTATGTAAGTCTGACCCAATATTCTAAAATAAATCAGTGCCACACAACATATCAAATAGGTAATGAAAAAAATCATATGATCACATCAATTGACAAAGAAAAGACATTTACAAAATTCAATGCCTAATTATGGTTAAAAATAAAAAACTCTCATTCAGTACACTAGAATAAGAAAGGAATATCCTCAATCTCATAAAAAGCATCTATGAAAAACTTACAGGAAATATTGTACTTAATGATGAAAGATTGGATGTTTTTCTTTTAAGACTGGGAACAAGGCAAGGATATTCACTCTCACCATTCTCATTCTAGCCACTGCAATAAGGCAAGAAAAATAAATTAAAGGCATACAGATTGGAAAGGAAGAAATAAAACTGTCCTTATTGCAAAGGACCTGAATGTCTACATAGAAAATCTCAAGGGTTCTATTAAAAAGAAAACTCCAAGAATTAATAAGTAAGTTCAATAAAATAACAGGATACAAGATTCACATACAAAAAAAATTGTATTTATAATTACTGACAATGGACAAGTGGAAACCAAAATAAAAACTCAATACCATTTATAATTGCTCCAAAGAAAAGAAAATACTAGGTATAGATTTAAAAAAAGATGTACAGGATCAGTGTGATGAAAATTATAAGAGAAATCAAAGAAGATCAAAACAAATGGAGCAACATACCATGTTCACAGATTGGAAGGTCATTCTAAAATATATATGGAAAGAGAAAAGCCACAGAATCCGAAACAATTTTGGGAAAAAAAGTAAGTGGGAAGAATCATTCTTCCCAGTGTCAAGGCTTACAGTATACCTGCAGTAATCAAGATAGCATGCCACTGGTGGAGGAAAAAAACACATAATCAATGGAACAGAATAAGGAAACAAGAAATATATCTCACAAATATGCCCAATTAATTTTTAACAAGAAGCAAAAGCAATTCAATCTAGGAGGGATAGCCTTTTCAATAAACAGTGCTAGAGCAATTGGATATCCATACGTTTAAAAATGAACCTCCACCTAAAACACACACAAATACAAAAACTAACTCAAAATGGATCCTGGACTTAAGCATAAAAAGTAAAACTAAAATATTTCAGGGAAAAAAAATCTTTGGGATCTAGAACTAAACTATTAGTTCTTAGACTTGACAGAAAAAGCCTGATTCATACAAGGAAAAATTTGTAAACTAGACTGAGGGAAAATATTTGCAAACCACATATCCAACATAGCCTTTATATCTAAAATATATAAGGAACATTCAAAACTCAACATCAAAAAAACAATTAAATTAGAAAATAAGCAAACGGCATATACGGACATCTCACTGAAGAAGATAAACAGATGGCAAATAAAGACATGGAAAGATGTCCAATATTATCATCATTAGAGAAATGTAATTCATTGAAATCACAATGAGTTATTACTACACACCAACAGAATGACCCCTGTCATAGGCAGGTACACACGGTAGCTATGACAGAGGGGCCTTGGATATATAGAGCAAGCAGTGCAGGAAAACCTGCCAGCGGATTTCCAGGAAATGGATGGACTGCATGGGGAAGATGCTCTGGGAGATGTCCAGCTGCCATACTTCATGCAGCAGGATCTTCCCTCCAAGACCCTGGGTCAGCCACTGCCTACCCTGAGACCCTACGGTACACCCTTCTGTGTGTAGCTAGTGTCTGCGTAATTCCTGCCTCTCTGCTCTTTGTTTCTGTGAGGGTAGAAGCCATGTTGAATTAGCCTTTTTACAAGACTTTTAAAATCTCAACATGGTTGTTGGGAGAGAGGGAAAGGTTTTATGTGAATAGCTATCAGTAATGACCATTAATTAATGATTGATAAATCTTTACAAATTATGTAATTTTCAAAGGCTGTACAATTATACAAAAAAGGTGAACAAACCTTAGAATAACAGAGAAGCCATTTAAAAAATCAATTGGCATTGGGCTGTATCTTTTTTAATTAATAATGACTAATTAAAGCACATTGAATTTATTAAATCTGTATTAAATCTGTAAGTTCAAAATAATACTCATAAAACAGAAAAAGAGAAACTAAATCAACTCAGGGTCACCACTGAAAGTTGCTAAGGCAACAACTCATTACTATGAAAATTGATAATTAAAGAAAAATAACTTATCTTGTGTTTGTGGCATGAACTGTTTCACATTAACAAAACTGGGTGGAAGAAAGTTCTTCAATACAGAATGACTAATTTATGAATGCAGCTGGAATAATAGAAAGTTTATTGTAAATGCTAAAGAAATAACAGAATCAGGCAACGGTCCCTGGTGGATATTAAAACCATCAGGAGAATAGGTGACAGAGAAGCCAGGCAGTCCCCACCTAAACTCCCTGAGTGTCTCAGCATCCCTGAAAGTCGGACATCCAGAGACATGCTCCTCCTCACTGTAATTCAGACTCCCTGACACCTGTGAAGTATAAGGGCCCCAAACTGAACCCGAAGGCTTCAGACCTAAATTGTAGTCTATACTAAATAGAAGAGATGCAATAATAAATTAATGCCCTAAGGAACCCTTCAACCCAATCTAGGGTATAGAATATTCTACAGAACAAAAGAATTAGGATTTTTCAACTAGATGGTGGTGCATAAAAGACTTAACCTGACCCAAGGACGTCACCTTTAGAAGGCCTGCTCTGAGATTGGCCTTGGCTGGCTCTGGGCACTCAGCTTTTAGAATATTCCTTATGCTGCCGATTAATAAGGTTGTTCCGTAGGCCTGGGGCAGTGCACTCTGCTGTACCAGACACCTGGACTGTATGAAAATGTGATTTATGATGAACACCTGCTTTCCTTCTGGCAGTCTGGGATTGCGGTGGGCTGAGAGTGCCTACCTGACCAGCCCCAGCAAAAACTCTGAGTCCCAAGCAGGCTGTCCTGGGCAGAACCCTGTCCACATGTTGCTGTCTTTGCTGCTGGAGGGAGGGGTATGTTCTATGTGGCCGCTCTCAGAAGCCTGTTTCTGGATTTTTCCAGACTCAGCAGATTCACAGAGCACAGCTGCCTCCGAGTCTGTGTGTCCTCATAGCAAATCACAGAGTGGTCATGGGAACCCCAAAACAACAACAATACTGACTAAAAAGAAAATAGATAAGGGATGGAGGGAGCAAAGTTGTTCTAGAATAAGAGACGTAAGAGATATAACAACTAAACCCATGAGTGGACCTTGTTAGATAATTCAGGGGCTTAACTTACTGGAGCCAACATTCTTCCCCAAGCAGACTAGACAACCACAGGCAAAGCTCTGGAACTTTCCTGGCCACTCCTCCTGCTGGCCATCTACCTACCCTAAGCTCACTAAGAAGCACCTCTTCAGAGCCACATCATCCACTCACCCTCCGGGCTCTACTTACTGAGCCAATATTCTTAGCAACACGTTGCTGTGAAGTTTGGTTTCACAGATAAATCAACAATGGACCTGCCCAGCCCAGGAAGTGTTTGCACATTGTTTCATGCTATTAAAGGTATAGCCATTCTTATAATTTCCCAGAAACATCAAATTGATGGAAATGCCCATTAGCCAAGTTGATAAACATAACAGACAATAATTCTTCCCCTGCACACGCACGGTCCTGCAAAGCAGGTAGGGTATTTATTAATGCATCAATCACACAGATGAAGGCCCTGAGTCTCAGAGGGGTTCAAAACTTGTCCTCTCAAAGTCACCCCTCAAGGTCATGCCTAGAGTGAACAGTAAAGAGAGGGTACAAAACCATGTACATATTCTGTTTCCTCAGGTACACTTTCACTCTCCTCCAAAACTCACCATGTTCGTGTCAATTGTCCAATTCAGCAAATATTCCTATACCATTTTCTACCTGGAGTGAGAGACACGGTAATTTTTCAGAATGATGACACTAATCCAATGTATTTAAGTGGTCAGGACTGGGACCATCCAGAATGTCTAAAATATCCTAACTGTGGGCACAGACAGATCAAGGACAGCAGGCATGAAAGTCACCTCAAATATAATCAGTACATAGACGCCCGCCAGGATGGCCGCAGCAATGGTCACTTGTGCTTCTACACTTGCAGGCAGGTACTGATGAGCCATCAGAAGAGGAACAGCCTGGGTCTGCTGGAGGGAGGCCCGAATGCTGATGGACACAGCCTCTCTGTGGGAGGAAGCAAAGACCTCACAGTTAGCAAGGGAAACAAATCCTGGATCAGCAACTGGGGTCCCTCACTGCGAGGCAGCCGTGGCTGTAACCAGAGCCCGACGCCTGATCTCACAGATGGAAGCGGAAGCGCATTGAGCACCGGTCAGCGAGAGATGCAGGACGCAGCCTCCCTGTGGCCAGGCCCAGCCAGTCGATGCAGGCCCCTCCTTGCAGGCGTTGCTCCAGCAGCTGAGGAGGAGCAGGGGCCTGCACGGTTGACGTGAGCCATTTAACTGCCTCTCTTTTCTTTTTATTTTTTATTTCAGCATATTACTGGAGTACAAATGTTTAGGTTACATATATTGCCCTTGCCCCACCCAAGTCAGAGCATCAAGTGTGTCCATCCCCCAGACAGTGTGCCCCGCACCCATTAGGTGTGTATATGCCCATCCCCTCCTGCCCCCACTCATCTGCCCGACACTCAATGAATGTTATTACTATATGTGCACTTAAGTGTTGCAATTTGATGGTGAGTACAAGTGGTGCTTGTTTTTCCATTTTTGTGATACTTCATTTAGTAGAATGGGCTCCAGCTCTATCCAGGATAATACAAGAGGTGCTAGATCACCATTGTTTTTTGCGGCTGAGTAGAACTCCATGGTGTACATGTACCACATTTTATTAATCCACTCACGTATTGATGGGCACTTGGGTTGTTTCCACATCTTTGCAATTGTGAATTGTGCTGCTATATTTTAACTGCCTCTCTTCCCCCTCGCCCACACGCCTGCTCTGCCTGCTAACAAACAGCAAAGCTAACTCCCGAAATCGCAGTCCCTGACAGCGAGGAAAGGTACCATGCACAAGAAGCCCAAGAATAACCCAGAGTTTGTGGCATGCTGAAACTGAAGCTTTTTTTTAAATTCAGTCAGCAATTTTTATGGGTTGTGTTCCCCTCACCAAAAAAAAAATCCATATGTTCAAGTCTTAACCCCCAGTACCTCAAAATGTGACTGTATTTAGAGGAAGGTCTTCAAAGAGGTAATAAAGGTTAAATGAGGTCATTAGGGTGACTCCTACTCCAACAGGACTGGTGTCCTTATAAGAAAAGATCAGGACCCAACCGCACACAGAGGGAAGACCATCTGTAAGCTGAGGAGAGAGGACTCAGGAGAACCAACCCTGTCGGCACCTCAGTCTTGGGCTTCCAAGCCTCTAGAATTGCGAGAAAATAAATGTCTGATGTTTTAGCCACCAGTCTGTGCTGCCAGAGCTGACTAATGCAGCAACCAAGAGTATAGATTGAATATGAAGTGGCATTTAAAAAAAGAAGCCTTAAATTTCCTAGAATTACCCATTGTACAGCTTCATATTAATGAAATTAGAGCACAAACAAAAAAATACCATTTGCTTCAAAGTGGATCCTGCCATCAACCCTCTTCTGTCCTGACAGCACGGCTCTGACGCCCTCCCACAGCCTCTGAGCTCAGTCTGTACAGCACGAGTGCCCTGACCAAGCCACATAACCGATCTGTCGCTATCTGTGCCAAAACTCAGTGTCCTATAGGTCAGACATCGTCAGAGGAGTATGTCCCAGAGATTCAGCCCCAAGACCTCATTCACCTGAAAACCTACCTGCTCAGTACCTCAAAGGTCCTGCTGACCACTGAGCGCTCATTTCTTCTTGGATTTAAAAATATTGTCCAATTGTAAGTGACCTGTAAAAGCCGAAGCGTGAAATCATGGTAAGGCTTTTCACCTGAGACGTCATCTGGGATCTGGCACTGTTCAGTGTAGGTATCGGTTTAGAATAAGAAAAGGAGAAAGAGAGGAACAGCAGTGTGTTTTTATTTGGGCTCCCACCTTCCTGACATGAGGTGCTACTCCAGGTTGTCTGGAACAGGAAATTTCCACTATTCAAGGAGCAGCTATGTTCAAGAGAAAGCATTCAAGAGAAAAAATACGGAATTAGTGTACAAAAGTATGAAAGGTATAGAAGTAAATACTGATTTATTACAAGAGACTTGGAGAAGTCCTCTGAGCCCCGAGTCCTGAGAACGCTTCCTGTTCGCAAGCTGGAGGTGACAGACCCCTCCCACAAAACCCTTTATTCCCGGGTTCACAGGAGTCCCTGCAAGGCAGAGCCCCAAGATCAAGCTTCACTTGCTGTAGGAAAAGCTGCCCTGCACTTTCCTGTCCTTGTCCCAAACAGGTAGAGAATCACCAGCAGAGAGGGGCCAGCCAGAGCAGAGTGGAGGGGCTGACAGAGCTGATGGCAGCCTGTGGGGGGAGAGGGAACTTTCCATGGGAGGACCCCAGCCTCACCCACAAATCACAAAGGACACTGAAAACAGGAACTTTGAAATTGGGCAAAGCAGAGAAGTACATGAATGGAGAGAATAGCAGTTCCCTTAAAACACTTTGCTGTTTGGAAAGAGCACATCTGAAAAAAATCCTTTCATAAAGAATCTCATGTTCTTTGCATTTCAAGAGCTAGACTTGCATGTGGGGAGTTCGGGTGTATCAACATGTCACAAAGATAGCAGGAAAGCTCAATATAGCTCATTTAATCTGGGCTGTAAATACGCACATGCTGAGAAAGCAGCTAGACAGTGGCTGCGCAAGGTCCCACCCACCCCATGCAAGGCTCTGGGACACGGCAGAGAGAGGTGTCCTGGCCTTGCTCATCACTAGGAGCCCCTTGCACATACGGGAACCAAGTTTACATCCTAAGACCATGGCCAGGGCAACCAGATTAGAACACTGGTGTTGCATCTGCCACTGCTCAGGAAACTGCGTCCTCGTTGATAATGAAACCTTTGCTCTGTGCGCCATGCTCTACAAGGCAGGAAAATGTGAGTGACGCGTTAATTCATCGGATGCTCCATTTTAGATGGCAGAGCCTTGTGCACAAGCAGGGTTTTCTTCTACTGGTTATAACAGAGAAAAAGTCCATGAACTAGGGATATGGCTTCCATGCGGAAGTCACCAAGGCCAGTATTAGGGGATGGGTCAGGCCGTGTGGAGAGGAGCTGTGCCCTTGGTGTTGAGGCTCTGGGCCATCTTGATAGCCACTCCGGCTGGCCCTCATTGCTGTGTGCAAGCTGCCTTTGCAGGATGTGAACTGGAGGCTTTGGCTCTGAGACAAGGCTGAGCAGAGGGCCTATCAACATAGATGCAGAAGCTGGGGGAATCTTTGCACAGTCTCAGCAAGTGTCCACCAGCACACGGTGACTGTGGGGTTGGAGTGTCTTCCGTACCGTGAGGTAGGGCCTAGAGTTAATTATACTTTAACGACAAAAGGAAAAACCTGCTTTCAAATATACAGCGTTTCCCTGAATGGCCTAGTAAAATGGTTCCGAATAAAGAACTCGCAAGACTGATTTTACTGAAATGGCCAGAGTTTTAGAAATGATTTAGAGAAAAGGGGAAAAGAGCGTTTCAAAGACAAAGCAAAAGATAAGAGCCAATGGCTTGACTAATAATGGTGTCCTTGCCTTATGGCTCCCCATCAAACCTATTCAAGAGGAAACTCAGTTTATAATGAGATGAAATGAGATTTTACGATTCCTTTCAAATAAATCATAAGTGTAACCTGCTGTGGCCGCCGCCGCCTGGAACCCAGATTATCTGCCTGGGTCACCTCCACCACAACGTGCTCTTCTCTCCCGGGACGACTTGGCCCGCTGGCCACCAGGGCCCCCGCCAGGTCCACCTGCAGCAGCGTGGAGTCTGCGTGGCTGCTGAGGTTCACAGCTGGGGGTGCGTCAAGGTGAACCACAAAGCAAGGAGACGCCTGATGTCCCAGCCACCCTCCAGATGCACACCCTCCTCAGGACAGCGCACCAAGAAACGCACATCTGGGCATTTCCTCCAACTGCCCAATGTCCTTGGCCATTCTTATCTCTTCAGCCCCTAACCCCGTACACATGCAGTTGGTTTCACATTGTTTAAGCATGTTTGGCATCCTCTGGCTTAAGATCTAAGTGGTGTCTCCCAGTCCTACCAACTACCATCTCTGCCTCCACTTTTTGCAGCCTTCATAAAACGCATTCCCAAGTTCCTGGGCCCACGGTGAGCACTAGGCAGGAATGAACCTAAGGTATCGAGTCTCTGTTCGTAAAGTGAGAAATCACAAAAAGAATTGACGATAAGAATTCTGAAATTAGCTAAATCAGTAACGTCCATTGCAGTCAGGGAACAGAAATTCCTACAAAGCACCTTAAAGGGCTCTTGATCAGGGAAGAGCTATCAGGAAGAGAGGCTCCTCCCGCCTCAAAATGCCACCCCCTCCCATGAGGTACTTACCCCTCAGCAGTCCTTCCCCTTAGCTCCCTCATCCCACCTTTGTGGGCTGTGCTTGCTCTGCTCAGAGCCTCCCACCTCGACTGCAAGACCCTGGGGGCCACGGGTGTCTAAACAGTGATGTGGCTAGCCCGGTCATTTTCAACCAGAAGAGAAAACTGTTGTGAGTGGAATAGTAAATTTCACAGTTGTTTATGCTTGATATCGGATCTCAAAAGTCTTTTGCCAGCAGTTCACTGGTTTTAGGATGATTCTCCAGCTAATTCCTTTATTCTTCCTTAAATCCCTACAAGAAGCAAGTGGCTTATGTCACGGACTTGGGGGAGGCAGAACGTCACCGTTGCCAGAGTACCTGCGGGGGTTAATGGATGGGTACTCCTTTTTCATCATCTCTAGGAGAGCCCAGAGCAGACAGTCGCCCCCAGCATGAGGCTAGATAGCACCTCCACACACCCGTGCTGCTGCGTGGGTCCCCAAAAGGACAAATGGAAAATGGAAGTCACACGTGAGGCAGATTATACAAAGAAAAAAGCCCAAGGTGATGCTGCTGCTGCTGCGTCACCTGAAATTATTCCCGTGCTGGTCCTTACCCAGGACAGACGCAGGACATGGGGTGGGGAGAAGTATTTTAGCACAGAATGCACTGAAGACACCTTGCTGACACCAGGAGGTGAGACAGCGCCACCTGGAGGCACCCATCGAAAGGGCAGTGGGGAGGTGACCAAGTAACAAAACACCCTGCGTTTAACCATCCAAATGGAGTGCACACCAAGTCCAAGGGACCACACACGTTGCCACCCCACTTGTTCTCTCACCCTTTCAGACACCCACTGCATGGTTAGGGTTCAAAGTCCACCCCGATGTTCTGGTGTCTGCAGTGACTTCCAGACCCCAGCTAACAGGAGCCTCGGAGTCGCACCACCCCCGTGACTAGCTTTGCTCCTTGCCTCCCAGCCACACTGCCCTGGCCGCCCTCCCTCTAGACTGGCACCTTGGCCTCCAGCACTCCCCACACCTGGACAAGCCCTGCTACACCTCTTTGGAGATCTCACTCCAAAGAGCACTTAGGGAGTGCTCTGCTCTCCTTAAGCCTTTCCTTGTGCCCCACAGCTGGACCAGAGGGGACTCTCTCGCTCCTTCCCAAATTCTGCTGTGGACTGTACTCTGTTACTAAAGGGTTCATTCACACCATACTGCAGTTTGTTTTGGATTTTTCTCCCCAACTAGCCTAGCTCCTCAAGGGAAGAAACTACATCTTATTCATTTTTGCACTTCTCTGGAGAGTAACGTAGTTCTCACTATTAGGCAGGTAGCCTTTGCCAGACCCCTAGGGAGATGAAGGAATGGAACGCAAAGAGAGGGCTTGCGTTCCTTTCCCCGCCCCCCATAAGGGAAGTTTTATCCCTCCCTCTCTCCTGACAAGGACGATGCTGGAGCTGAAGGATGGATGTGACTGGGGCAGGGGTCCTGGGAGCTGGTTGTTTGAAAAAGAATTTATCACAAGCAGCTGTTCTGGCCCACCCCAGAAAAACCCTCTTAAAACCCACCACTCTTGCCTTCCCGGGGTGGACACTTTTTTCAGCCTCCACCCATCTGCACCCAGATGTTCAAAATAAACAGCATTTTGCTACACATGAGGCTTTGTGTGTCTCTCTCTCAGCTCCGGACCTAACCCTCACCACATTAAATGTCTCTAATAAATATGTGTTTCACTAACAGATATTTGTTTCCAGCATCATCCTTGATGTCCTCCAAACCTAGACCAGAGTCCTGGGCAGGCGACAAAGCTGTGGAGGACAGAGACATCACCCCTTTCCCCGGCTGCATCAACCATGGTCTTCCTGTCTTTCCCATTACCCAAATCTAGGCCATCCTTCAAGACCTAACTCCCCTGAAGCAGGTCATAAGACTCTCACGTGGGCGGTGCGTCCTCCACTGAGGAAAGACACATCCTTATCTCTGGAAGTGGAGGGAGGCCAAGGGGTCTGATCACTCAGGCCAGCTACGTCCCCGTTGACTGCCCTGAGCTCACATACTTTGGGCCTGTTATGTTTTCCACAAGGCGCCATCAAACCTAGTTTAAAAACACTCAGGCTCAACTACTACTTTAGGTCTTCATTTTCTTATGAAGTCTCCCATGTCAGATGAAATGCATATTAAATAAACATGTATGTTTTTCTCTTGTTAGTCTGTCTTTTTTGAGTCTAATTTGCAGGGCCCCAGTTGGAGAACCCAGGAGGGGGGGCGGAATTCGGTTCCCTTCTCAACACTTTGCATAATGTCATCCTATGCTATGGTGCTCAGCAGGATGGAAATTGGACCATAAAGAGAAAGAGGGAGGGATGGAGGGAGGGAAAGAAAAAGAGAGAGAGGAGAGAGAATAGAGGAGGAGGAGGAGGAGGAGACATTAAAGAAGGAAAGGAAGGAAGAGAGTGAGGAGGAAGATGAGAGGAGAAGAGGAGAGAGGAAGGGGGGTGCACCTAATTACGTGCATGTAAGGTTTGCTGGCCTCTGTTCATCTACCCAGTGACCTAGGAGCCTTTGACAGGCCTTGATCATAACAAGCACAGACAATTCAGAGACAAAGAACTTCAGGTGTCTGCAATTACAGGTTTCTAAAATAAACCCCTCAATTACTCAGCTGACACAGCCTGCCTGTTGCAAGAAGACACGGAAGTTCACAGGAGAAAGGCAGCTTTGTTACTCCCCAGCTAAAGGAGAGGAGTGCTTTCTCTAAAAGCCCTTCCCGTCACAACAGACAGCCCTGGTGTTCCTCCTCCAGGCCCCAGCCAGAGGCGGGGAGGGAGGGTGCAGAGCTCTTTGCTCAGGGCTGCTGCTTGTTGGCCTTTCGAAACCAGCCCCGAATCCCTCCTGCCTCAGGCCTGCACTTCACACCGTTTCTCTGAGAATCCCCTTCAGAGGCCCAGCGCCCCCTTAGACCCCAGCAGCACTTTTCTCTCTGGACATCTGGGAGGGTCCACTGCAGCGCCTGAGCTGCCTCCCACCTCCTCCCAGGCAGGTCCCCAGGCCTGCAGCTTTCACAAACCCTCACTGCAGAGTCTTAGCTCAGGATCTTGGAAGACGGCCTGTGAGCTTCCAGAAACCCATGGGAAATCCCTGGGAATGCTGCATTTTTCCAAGAAGCTGGGGGGAAACTCGAGTCAGCCCTCATAGAGGCTGCTGATCCACAGAGCTGGAGGGACCACTCCGCACATCCCTGACTCCTCCTCTGGCTCCTCCATCTCTCCTGGGCTTGCGCTGTCTCCACCCAAACTCACTGGCCACTCAGAGCAGGTGAGCAAGCTCCCCTGGCATCCCTGCCCCCAGGAAAGATTTGCAAAATGCTCGAGAATAAAAGCACATGCTGGGTCCTCAGTGGGATGAACAGAGGGCTTTTATCTGCTAATGATGTGATCTCAGTGTCCCAACCTGCTACACTCACCTGGGATTTCTCCTGACCGGTAAGGGTGCTGGTGTCCACCCAGGCGGGCAGAGCACTGAACGTCCCAGTCACCAGCCTCGCCCAATATTCCCCCTCCCTGTCCAAGTCCCACTGAAGACTTCTGGGCAGGATCCAGCCCCTCCCTTCAGGCTTGTGGGTCGGCCTGGGCAGCAGGTCACAATCACTGCTCAAGGGGAGGGCAGCACCTCCTTCCCTGGGGACCGTCATAAAGCTCTGAGAAGGCCCCAGCGGAGCCACAGGAGCAGAGGGACGTCTGAGCTTTCTTCTACCCATGGAGGTGACAGAGGTAAAGACACAGAATGAGAAGCAAAGTTTGTCAAAATCACACAGCTCTTCAGTTCTCTCACAGACAGGGACATACTTCTTTGACTCAAGCTCAGAAAATGTTAAAGAGGGTGAAGAAAATACAAAGACTTGCGTGAGCACTCAGCTCACGTCACAGCTGCCCTGTCCTGAGGGCGGTGTGACCAGCACCTCTGTCCACTGGGGCAGAGGGAGGCACGTGGACCTGACCAGGGCACCTCCCAGGCACACGCAAGGCCCTGGTGCACCAGGCCTTTCCAGAAGGTGTCTGCGTGGGGAGGGTGTCCCAGGGAAGATGGGGAGGGCTCCCAGAAGGGCTAAGGAAAATAAGACTACATAACAGATTACAGGTGGCTGCAAGGAAAATGACCCAATTTCCTAAAATGTTAGCTCGCCAAGATTACCAACTGAAGATACTAAAAAAAAATCTTGCCATTTAACTAAGTGAATTAATTCCTTTTCAAAAGATAGTCATCTGAAATATCTGACCTGACCAGAGCTGCCTCCCCCACACTTGCCTCTCCCAGGATCCTCTACTGCCACCTGTCACCCTGGGCATTGCTGGGCGCTTCAGGGGCTTCCGTGCTCAGACATCTTAATCCTGACAGAGGCTGTGGACTTTCAGTCTCAGGTGGGATAGGTGGAGAGCTGGGAAGGCACCACTCATGCCCACCCTTGCAACCAGAAAAGGCTGAATAAACATGCCAGTGACTTACTCCTTATTCCGGAATGAAGATGCAGGGCAAACAGCTCACTTGAAACCCAGAGTGAGACAGGCGACTGCAGAAAGAAACAGCTTCCCTGGAACAGGTGCCACCGCCATGCTCTAGAAGTGGGTAAGTTTCAACCAGAAAACTTAAACTTGTTCAAGCTCAAGTGTGGGCTTGCACAAGAGTGGGAAGCCCCTGGGAATCACAGGCAGGGGTGTTCCTGCCTTCCTGCAGGCTTTTCCTCCAGGACTCCCAGCAGGTGCTCCCAGGGAAGACAGGCAGGCAAAGGTCCCCAGTGGTGCCACCTGGGGAAGAGTCACTGCCACCCTGCACCCACTCCCACCGCCTCCATCTCCCCTAAGGAGCAAAGGCCTCAATTTGCATGGGAAGAGCATCAGATCTGGTCACCAGAGGGCGCAGTTGGAAACCCCGCAGCTGCTGGAAGTCAAGAGGCAAGAGCAGCTCTCACCCCAGCAGGGGTGGGCACAGAGCCAGGTCCCGCAGACACAGCAATTCCACATGGCTGGTGCACCCGAGGTTGTCGTGCCAACTACAAACCTCAACACAGCCAACTTCTCACTAGATTTACATGAACATCCCAACCAGTGCCTGCAGACTTCAAGCTGAAAAACCACTAACCTCGGTATCTACCGTCCTATAGGATGTGTCCGGCTTTTTTTTTTCTTGAGACAGAGTCTCACTGTGTTGCCCGGGCTAGACTGCCGTGGCGTCATCCTAGCTCACAGCAACCTCACACTCCTGGGCTCAAGCAATCCTTCTGCCTCAGCCTCCTGAGTAGCTGGGACTACAGGCATGCGCCACCATGCCC